TATACACACATATCCATATATATATACATACACATTATATACATATATATACGCGCAACGGAATATTATGCAGCCATCAAAAAATGAAATCTTGCCATTTGCAACAATGTGGATGGAACTAGAGGGTATTATATAGCTAAGCAATATAAGTCAGTCAGAGAAAGACAAATACCATATGATTTCGCTCATATGTGGGATTTTAGAAACCAAATAAACAAAGGGAAAAAAGAGAGATACACACACAAACCAAGAAACAGACTCTTAACTATAGAGAACAAACTGATGATGACCAGAGGGGAAGTGGGTGAAATAGTTGATGGGGATTAAAGAGTATGCTCATTATAAAAAGCAGTGAGTAATGTAGAGATTTGTTGAATCACTATTTTGTACACCTGAAACTAAAATAACACTGTATGTTAACTATATTGGAATTAAAATAAAAAGCTTAATAAAAATGAAAGCAAAAAAAAATAGTTTGCTCTTTTGATTGCTGAGTAATGTGGAATGATGTATCACAGGTTAGCCATGACCTTTTGAAAGACATTTGAAACATTTCAAGTTTTGGGCTATTCTGAATAAAACTGCTGTGAACATTTGTGTACAGGTTTTTCATTTCTCTGGGATAAATGCCCATGAGTGTAATTGGTGGGTTGTATGTTAATTACATGTTTAGTTTGTAAGAAATTGCCGTATGATTTTATAGTCTAAGCAGCAGTGTGTGAATGATCTAGTTTCTCTGCATCTCTTCCAGCATTAGAAGGTGTCACTATTTGTTATTTTAGCCATTCTGATAGATACATAGTGATATCTCCTTGTAGTTTTAATTTGCTTAATGGCTTACTTTCCATTTGTTTGTCATTTTTGGTGATCTTTTGCATTTTTACTCCTCCATTTACTTCTTTTTGGACCTTGCGGTGGGGATGGTGTTGCTGGTGAATTAACTGTGAAGTTTGTTGTAGAATACTTAGATGGGAGGAAACAGGTCTGCTCCTGAAATAGAAAGTATTGCTCACTATGATTCTCAGCTCTGTGTTAGAGTCTCTGGGAGTACAAAGACGAATAAGATAAGAACCTTAGTCTAATACCATCTGGCACTTTCAGAACGGGAAGCAGAAAAGATGTAGAAGTTTGAGATCTCCAAATTGCATAACATTTGCATGGGCATCATAAAGGTCACTGTGAATGATGGATAGATCCTGGCAGACACAGGCCAAGGATTCAAATTCATTTAATATGAGTTAAGGATGCAAAAATGTCTTTGCCCACAGGTAGCTGCCCAGAGTGAGGGACTGGGAAACACAGCAGCCCTCCCAGTGAGAGGAGTGCTCAAACACTCCTGACTTCAAACCCCACAGAGGTACTCCTGCTGATGAGAATAGTGATTAGAGTGAGACTTCTCATGGCTCTTCAGGAAGCTTGTTCTGTCTGTCCTCTCTCTCTTATTCCTTGGGCCTCCTAACTGTTCCAGAGAAACTGGATTTATGTCCAATTGATCACCACTGGCAGGTACCTGGTGTCAACCCCAGTGCATACCTGAGTGTTGAATTTGAGTTTAAGTGAACGAGATTCTTTCTAGGAATTTCATCCTCCCTAACAGGACTGAGTCTCAGGTAGTCTATATCTGCAGTCTGCTGCATAAATTAATGACCCACTTCAGTATTTGCTAAGAATTGGACAGCGATTGTCTAAGGAGAGAAATAGCTCAATAGAGAATAAGGAATAAACATACACAGAAATTTAATTTATGGTAAAGGTGGCATTAAGAAGCAACGGGGAAAAGAGGGACTATTAGAAATCCTCTGGGAAAAATTCTTACCTCACACCATATACAAAAACAAAATTCAGATGGACTAATGATCTAAATGTAAAGTTAAAAACAGAATAAAGTTTAACATTTAAAAAATTTTTAAGGGTGAGGTGGGCCAAAGTAGGAGGTCTTTTAATGAAGGTGGGTAACTCAGAATCTGCAGAGAAAATGTACGGATTTTACTACATAAAAGTGAAAAAAAATCTTTATGATAAAATAAGAAACGAAGTTAAAAAGAAAACTTAATGAAAATGTTATTTGTATATATATGTACATACTTATTAATATCACACATATCTTTGCACATCTTTGTTTTTCTGTGATGCAGAAGGATATATCTATATCCTATAAAAGTTATTTCTAATATACAAAGAATTTATATAATTCCATAAGAAAAGTGCAAACTAAATATCAAAAAAATAGGCAAAGGGTAGGAACAGGCAAATCACAGAAGAATGCAAATTACCAATAAACATATTAATAGATATTCACTTTTACTAGTAATCAAGAAACTAGAATTTAAAACCAAAAAATGCAGGGCGCCTGGGTGGTTCAGTTGGTTAAATGTCTGACTCTTGATTTTGGCATAGGTCATGATCTCGGGGCTGTGAGATCTTTCGAGTCCCGAGCCAGGCTTTGTACTCAGCCGGGAGTCAATTTCTCTCTCTCTGCCCCTCCCCCCACTCTCTCCCTGTCTCTTTCTAAATAATAATAATAATAAATCTTAAAAATAAAACCAAAAAAGGACATTTAAAAATTCATCAAATACACAGAAATTAAAAAACAAATAATGTTCAAGTACTTACGGGATATGGGAAAGGACATTCTCCTACATTCTTTCTGGGAATATAAATCGATGCAGTCTTTTTCTGAGGGTAGATTGGCAGTTGTCTGTTGAACTTTAAAACGCACATACTCTTTCATACAATAATGCCCCCTTTAGGAATCTACCACAGAAAAATAGAGGTGTATAAGGATATATATGCTATGATATGTATTACAGTATTAGTTGTAGCAGCAGAAAATTATAATCAACCTAAAATATCTAGCAATATGGAAATGCTAAAAGAAACAAACTATGGCATAGTCATGTAATGGAATACAATAAAGCCATTAAAAGAAAGAGCAAAATCTATAGCATTGATATGGCAGGACATGATAAGATGTCCATGAATGAAAATCAAGGAATATATGTATATGCATCATGATTTTTTTTTTTTTTTTAGAGAGTGTGTGTGTGTGAGGGGGAGAGGGGCAGAGGGGAGAGGGAGAGAGAGAGAATTTTAAGCAGGCTCCATGCCCATTGCGGAGCCTGAGTTGGGACTCAGTCTCACGACCTTGAGATCATGACCTGAGCTGAAATCAAGAGTCACAGGCTTAACTGACTGAGCCACCCAGGCACCCCCATACATCATGAATAAATCTAGGGTGTGTGGGTGGATGTATATGTCTATATGTGATTGTAGGCCAAAAAATTCTAAAAGTCTGGAAAAATACACACTGACCTATTAAAAATGGATACATACCAGAGGTATAGAAGTGCTGGGGTGAGGGGAATTTCACTTTTTATTTTATGTACTTTTACAGTATTTGCAATGATTTTTTTTTCTTTTTTTTTAAGGAGGGATGGGGGCAGGCAGAGGGAGAGGGTGAGAGAATCTGAAGCAGGCTCCACGCTCAGTGTGGAGCCCAACACAGGGCTCCATCTCACACCCCCGAGATCATGACCTGAGCTGAAATCAAGAGTCAGAGGCTTTACTGACTGAGCCACTCAGGTGCCCCTGCAATGATTTTTTATCACGAAGACATAATGCTTTATAATGTTAAAAAAGAAAGGAAATTATAAATGCTAAACAACCTAAGCTTTGACCAAAAAGAAATAATTTGGTTTGAAGAACTGCTTTTAAAGGAGATACAGGTAACTTTGCCTAATGAAAAATCAAATAAACAAACAGAAAAATCTCTTTCTTGCTACTGTATGAACTTTCTGTTTCTGGACTATATATTTCAGTGATTTCTCTCTGGTTATTTAATTCATTGTGTTTAATTGATATGTTTACTGGCGTTTAGTGAAAACTGTTCTGTAAGTATCTTCGGTTGTGATTTATCTAGTGTAGTATCTCCCCCAGTGAATTGACTGTGAGTGGGGAATTAGTAAAGCAGATACAGATCTGGAGAGTAGTCTGTGGCTTTACTTATCTTCACAGGAAACCTTATTTCATATTGATAAAGTTTGAAATCTTTCCTGTAACTCTTTCCTATTGTTCCTTGTTGTTACTGTTTTAATGAGAGGTAGAAATGAGCCAAACCAACCTTCTTCTTTCCTTTTAGTAATTTAATTTCAAAGGAAATTCTTCAACCCGAATCAACCCAAATAAATGAGTGTGGATGGAACCAGATTCTGACTCAACATGTCCAGTTAATTGCTTCCAAACATTAAGATAAATTCCTCAGAAACACCCACAAATAATTTTTAAAAAGTCCCTCAGTAAAGAATGATTAGTGGGAAGTGAGCTGGCTATAACCATGTTTGCTTACAAAAACCGTGTTTAAGTTGGCATTAGTATTTGCCATCTATTCTATCGTAAATATCAAGATTTATCATAGAAATATGCCACAGATAGCACAATAATAAAGAAAACAGACTCATCTCAGGTTTTGAAATGTACCTAACAAACTCAACCTCTTGCAAAATAACTTTCTTATTCAAAATGAAACTGGGAATTGTTCAGCACACAATGAATCATCTTTTGGCAAGTACAATAGAATCTTTAGGGACATTTCACAGCCTCTTGTTCAATTGTTAGGATGTTTTTAGCTTTCACAGGTAGGGAAGAAGGTAGCTTGTATAGCCATCATCTTGTTGCTAAAATTGTACAGTAAAGATTTTTCAGAGTTGCTGTTGCAATAGATCTTTTGCTTTTTTTTTTTTTCCTTCCTGTTTCTTTACCCAGAGCTGCTTTGTCTCTCAAAAACAATCTGGAATTACTTAATGCTAATGTTTTCTGGTTTTACTATTTACCCAGGACTCAAATGTTAAACATTAATGTTGGAAACTCCTTTTTCCTTACCTCATAGTGCTATATTTATTTAACTGTTATTTTGCCAGAAGAAAACCTCCTCTTTCCCTTTCTGTGTTAATGTACTTTTTTTTTTTTTTTTATTGACACACACATTTTGTTTTTGTTTTCAGGAGGCTTTAGAGCTACCCCTGGATGATTTTGAAGTGACTGACACCACAACGGGAAGCGAAGTGATTAAATATGAGTATCATGTCTTATACTCCTGTAGCTACCAAGTGCCTGTGCTTTACTTTAGGGCAAGCTTTTTAGGTAAGACCATGTCGCCTGCTAGATATAAATGCATAACATTTACATATAAGGCAGAAAGCAGATTTAGAAAATTATTCTTGAGAGAAAAAAAAAAATAGAGTTAAAAATAAGAAAACTGTGGGTGAGGTAAGGTTTTACCAGTAAATTTTCTCATGCTTTAGAAAGAGTATCAAGACTTCAGAGTGAATGATATCATCCCAGCCTTAAGTCTGATCTTCAGATTCTTGGCCTCCTGCCCAACGTTGACTAAGCCCCTGGCCCTTTTTCTTTTCCTTAAACAAGTAGGAACAATGTAAAGCTACAATGTTTATGTACTTCTAACTTTACAGTAAAAATGTCTTTCACTCTTAAGCGATTCTGTTAACTCAAAAGCCCCCATGTCTCCTTCCTCAAATGCTAATAATTATTTCAAGAACGGTTTATCAAATAGTTCAAGCTATATTTAAAAATAGCACGAACATTTCCTTCGGCCATCTATACATCTCCAGTGCTGTAGCTTCCTGCCATGCTGTTACTCAACTCATTCCCCTTGCCAAGAAGGTGGAACACCCTGTCTCCTCTGAGGCCTTGGCTAATAAAGCTTATTTAATCAGCAGCCACATGGAGTTCTCACCCAGTAGCGCGGCAATGACTCCCTCTTCTCGTCCTCTGACTAAACCTGGTCAGCATTGCAAGGCCCTGTCTCCCTGGGCTCAGGACAAGAGGAGCTGCCTCCCCAGCCCACCCCCTACCCTGTTTCTCCTTTCCTCTCTGGCCTTATCAGCAGCATTTGCATTTTGAACAGCCTTCTAACTTTTTCTGGGTAGCTAAGACATCTGAATTTAGCCAGTGATATTTTATTTTTAATTAAAAAGTAGCTTAAGCTACTTTGAATGTGTATTTGGTAGATTTAATCACTTGCTGCCTTATATTGTTTAATGGTCTCTAATTTTGCAGTGTTGGCGGTTTAACAAGCACTTAGGATTTAAAACACAAGAACAAATTCTCATAGACTCCCTGGTGAGAAGATTTTAATCTGAGGTGCAGTTCCTAAGAACTGACAATTTGGGGTAAATTTTCAACATGGGACATGGGGAATTGAGGACACTGATAGTTACTAATTCACAAACTCTTGCTGCAGATTTATCCATATGATTATTATAGGCCTTTAAAACACTCACTTTATTGTTGTAATTCTCTTCAGTTTGGAGCCCAGAGGTTAAGGGGGTTTATTGTCAGTGAACTCTGTTACCCTAAAAAGCAGAAGGGGATACATTTATTTACCATGGGGGAGGGGAAATACTTTTCTTGGTTTTGGCTTGCAGTGGCTCTACCTAGTACCTTTCTAGATTCGAAGACGCATCGAGGCTGCAGGTAAAGGAAATAGGACACTACTTCTTCAATACTGTACTTTCCTATAATTAGTATTCACCATAAGCAGTTAATCACCAGAGAAGAGCTCCCAGAGACAAAACAAGTTGTTGAGCTTGTCAGCATTAGGGAGTCGGAGGTGTTGAAACATGACTGCTTCTAGCTGGAAGTGGGTCTTGCCGAGGCTGGTGGATGAGCTCAGACGTGTACTTTGCTCTTATGTGCCAACAGCTCCCCTTACAGTACAGCACAGTGATTGTTCCTGCAAGTCCAATTATATTTTAACGAAATTTGTAGACTTCTTGGGATCTTTTCTTTATGATGGCTTTCTGTTCCTTAAAAAAAAAAGAAAAATAGTAACAAAAAAACAAACAAATACCGCACTTGCTTTCTTGGATGCTATCTATATACTTGTAAGACCCCCTTTATTTATGGTTAATAAAAGAAAACCCCAACAAGTCATTTATTTTACATGGCAGCTTTCCTTGTTCCTCCCTCCCCATTCTGTGTGGTGTGGAATGAGCACTAGGGACTTTTTTAAATTCCAGAATTCATTTAGTATTTATGCAGGTAAATTAAAATATCTAATTTAATTTTTCAAAGCATACTGAATGTTTTCTTGTGGAGGAACATGAAAAATGCTTCTTTCCTTTATCATATTCTAAGAATTTCTTTTCTCTTTTCTACTAACTTAGCCTAATGGATGTTCTAAAAATGTTTCGCCCTTTACTCTGGAGTCATAATTTTTCATTTATTCCCTTTAATCCATTCCCTTTTTCTGCGCTATCTGATTTCTCTGGCCCTCCATCTGTTTGTTAAACAGATCTCTGTCAGTGTGGTGAATGGATTCCTACCATCTTCCTCTTATTCCAGGTCCAGATTTTTCTTTGTCTCATTCTAACAGAGTTCCGACCTAGAAAGAGGATGATTATAAAAATTTCTTGCTCAGGGGTCTTTTTTGTTGCTTCAGAAATAGTTCACTTAGCCCTGCTTTGGACAGATATTTAGAATTTCTTTTGCATTTGATTGTTAGTAAAAATTAGTTTCTCTGCTCTGCTCTGATTTTTCTTCTGTTACCTTTTTTTTTTTTTAAGTAAAGCAATTAGTAGTAGTAATTCGCATTTAAGTGACATGACCTTTTCTTTTATCAACTGGTTTAGATTCCAGAAGAAATATTTATTGTGTTTCTTGAAATGCAAATCCATTGAATTGTGATTACTTCTTATTCCTCTGTATTGGCCAGTGTCCACCAGGCCTATTATTGCCCAGGACTCAGCTAACATGGCACTTGCTCTTTTCACTTCCATGTCATATCACATCACACCACATCATTTCACATCATATCGTATATAATATCGCAAGTTTCACTATAAGAGAATTATTTGCTTGTCCCCTATGAAATGGTAAGCAAGAAAATGGAGCTGTAAGGTGAAAAGAGGGAGGAAGGAAATTAATAGCGAGTACCTATAACCTACAAAGTGATAAGCTTAATTCATGGTAGTGTGTGTGTGTAATACATATGTGACATTTGTTATTTGTCTTACTCATTTTGGCACCCACAGGATCTGCTGTGATATAGTATCAACAAGTATTTACTGAATGAACCAATGATGAGGAATTTCTAACCATTTCTGCATACAACCCAAAGATGGAAACAGTGTGATCGGGCCTTATTTGAATTGCTCTGATGGGTTATAAGGAAGAGAGTGATGCTGTTGTCTCCAGGAAGCTCAGGACCCAAAACATCTATATATACTTTTACTCTCCAGTTTGATACTTCTTAGAGACTACAGAAGTAGTTGACTAAGGAAAATGGCAAGTCTTGAGTACTCAAAGGGTGGGCATCCAAACTAGCTGAGCAGCTGCCCCACTTCTATAAACACATATTTTTATTCAATCCTTGAAGGCGAAAACAGCCAAATTGCGCCAGCATTCTACTGCTGAGTACCTCTCATTCCTACTACTTGGACATTTAGGAGCCCGGTTCTCTCGGGGGTAACATGGATTTAAGAAGAGAAATAAGGGGGCGCCTGGGTGGCTCAGTCGGTTAAGCGACTGCCTTCGGCTCAGGTCATGATCCTGGAGTCCCTGGATCGAGTCCCGGGATCGAGTCCCGCATCGGGCTCCCTGCTCGGCAGGGAGTCTGCTTCTCCCTCTGACCCTCCCCCCTCTCATGTGCTCTCTCTCTCATTCTCTCTCTCAAATAAATAAATAAAATCTTTAAAAAAAAAAAAAAAAGAAGAGAAATAAGTCCTTCCCAGTATTTTTTTTTTTCCCCTAACTACTTTTGCCATTTGAAGTTTGGAAGAAGTAGTGGGGCACACTTAATGCCATCTGTTACCCAGCAGTGGGTAAGAGGTAACTACATTCCTGTCAAGTAGTAATAAGTAGCCTATATTCGAAGAGTGCCTTCTGGTTTATGAAGTCCATTCTCACGAAACACTGCCATCTTCAGTGCTCACTGTTTCCCCTCCCCCATCCACCCATTCTTGAAGCACATTGTTTTAAAGAAGTATTTGTATCATGCTAACTAAGGGCTTTGTGCACTGCCCATCATTCCAGCACCTTTTTATGTCCCATTTTTCCTTTTCGACTGAGGACTTGGTTTTGGTCAAAAGCTGGTGGCAAGTGTTAGAAACGTAGTGGAAAACCTTAGCTATATACATAATGTCTTAGGGCTTCACCAGAGTCCTAAGCTTACATAGTTTTCCCTTTCATGACAACTGGAGATTTCTATATTTATTTCAGTTTGAATTCTGATTTATTCCTGCCCTGTCTTTCTTCTTTTCCTTTGTTCTCAATCTCCATTGAAAAAGAGACCAAATGGTTCTTCTCATTTTCAAAATATTTAATTCTTTGGCTGACATATGGGTTCTTCTTGGGAACTGTTTTGACATATTTCTTTAATTAGTCAGAAGGGCTGCTTTTGAATAGGGAAGGAAACATTTCTTCCATTCAGCAACTGAATGTCTGTTCTTTCTGGAGATCCATTCTATTATTGGCCCGGGGAGTAAGAGTATAGAATTAAAAATGTAACCCAGATATTTCATGTGGAAGATTTGTCCACTTGCTGTATGCCTAAAGGATGCTCATGGAGGAACAGGGAGAAGGAAATAGCCAAGGAATAATTACCTCTCAAAGGCAAACCACGATAAAGGCCAGCATAAAGGAAGAATAATGGAAAGTTTGGACTTAGAGCGGTGTGTAAATCATCAAGGAGAAGGAAGAAGAGCCTTGTTCAATGTGGTCTGGAACAAGAGGAGGTCTTTGGAGTGCTTGGAAGAGAATAACAGGAAAACAGAAAGATGGAGTTGGAGGAAGTTGGAGAATAAAGTAAAGTATCCACAGCTCCGTCCAACAACTTGCAAGGGAAGGTAACAGGTTGGCTTTTCTGAAGAGGCTGGAAAAAGCATCAGAGAAGAGGAGGAGGGTGGGTGCCAAGCTGGAGAGAGCATAGCATGTTTGGGGAACAGTGAGAGGCCAGTTTGAAGTAAAGGTTTCCTTAAGATGAACTGCGGAAGAAATATTTGGAAAGATATGTTGAGGTCAAATTATGAAAGAGATAATGGGTTGGAAGTGGTTGCCAGCAAAGTGAGAGGTGAGGCAGCTTGTTGAACAGGAAAGAAAAGGTGGATTGGAGAGGTTCTTAA